GCTCCCCTTGAGGTGCACCCGGAGGCTCCAGCTAGTTCAGAATGCGGCTGCGCGGGGGATTTTGGGGGCCTCTAGATGCTCCCATGTAACACCTCTCCTGCGCGAGCTGCACTGGCTGCCGGTGGCCTTCCGGGTGCGCTTCAAGGTGTTAGTAACAACTTTTAAAGCGCTCCATGGCAATGGACCTAGGTATTTGCAACACCGCCTCCTACCAAACACCTCCCTTCGACCAGTCCGCTCCCACAGAGAGGGCCTCCTTAGAGTGCCGTCGGCCAGACAATGCCGGCTGGCGATCCCCAGGGGGAGAGCCTTCTCTGTGGCAGCTCCTGCCCTCTGGAATGACCTACCCCCCGACCTACGTACAGTTGCGGACCTGCGCCTTTTTCGCCGAGCCCTGAAGGCCCATCTATTCCGTGCGGCCGGCCTGGCGTAGTTTGATTATGTTTCAGTGGGGTTTTTTTTATGGGTGTGTTTTTAGAACAGGCCTGTTATTTAATTTGATTTTAAAACAAACTATTTATTTATTATCGTGGTTTTTAGTATCGCCTGTTCACCGCCCTGAGTCCCGCAAGGGAGATAGGGCGGTATATAAATTTAATAAATAAAATAAATAAATAAATAAATAAATATCTCATTTTTAGCATGCAGGAAAGGCTCGATTGCTTAGTCCAGTTGTCTGATTCAAATTTACAAGATTAGGCAGGTTCCCACAACCTATTAAGTCATAATGGGATCTGTCTAGCTTCACCTTCATGTGTTGAAGAAATCCAACCATTCTGGTTTATAACCCATGGTTTATTATTTTGATGTATTGTATAAATCAGCCAAGTGTGATTTCAATAGAAGAGAAGATTCTTATTTGTTAAGCAATCCACAATCTAACAGGTTGTACTGTACGCATGAAACCAAGTTACAAAAAGCTTAATACCTTGTTTAAATGCTGAGCAATGTAGCTTCGCCCACACCCAAGGTCCAAGGCAAGGGGAAATGACCTTAAGAATGAAAAATAGAATAGGATTAAGATGCAAAACTGTAAATCAATGATCTACTTTAACCAAAATTTCAAAGATGTATTGTCTCCTTGAAGCTGGCTGACATACAGCTTAATCTGATAGCTGCAACAAATGGAAACCAGAATGCTTCTTTCACAGCAGAAAACCTTTCTGCTTTTAGGATTATGAATAGATTTTAAATTCCCTCTAAAACTGTATTAAGCACATTATAGGGCTTATACTATGGTTCTGTTTCCTGGTTGAAAAGTATGAGAATATTTCCCAAATGTGGGTTACTGTGGTTGGTGAAGGCTTCCAGAATCCCAAAACCAGGATGGCGGTAAGCCATGCAACTGGAGGCTTCAGGCTTGCCCAGTCTTCTTTGATATGCAGGGTGAGAACAATGAGTAGTGCTTACAGAGGGATTTAAGCTTCATCTAAATTGTATTAATAGGCAGAGATTCTGGTTAAATGGGAACACAGACAACAGTGTATTTTGTGATGTCTCTACTCAACAGCCTTAGCCAACACTATTTTTAATAGGATGTTAGGTTTTAATCACTGATTGCACCTGTGGTTACTTCAATCAAACATGCCTATCTTTAGCAATGGTTTTACAACATCTTTTAGCTTCATGAGCATCAAAACTCTTTTTCAGAGGACTAGATTTCTTTCGATGGGGGCGTGATTCACTTCTATAATCCTGTGTCAAGAAGATCAAGTTTTGAGAATGGCAACCAAAGTATGCAAATGTACAGGAAAGACCCCCCCTCAAACTCACACCCAGTTGAAATACCTGACACAGCTGAGTCAAATCAGCTGATTATCCTAGAATTTCACATACTTTTAAAATATTGCCTCGATATTTACAATACAGATTTGACATAGTGCATGTTTGTGCTGTATGTTGTTTGCTTAATGAGAATCTTTTTATCTTACATGAAGCTCTGATCACACTGTAGGTCACAATACTTTAAGATTATAGATAATGCTAAAGATGAGTCTGCTATCTAAGGGGCAGGGCTTTAAGATAGATGAGAGACATCTGACCAAGCTTCTGTTCAAAAGAAGACAGAGCAACCCAGTTATATCTGCTTCATGGATCAGAAATTCCTCATCCTCATTTTTTAGCACTGCCAAGATAAAATGAAAAGAACTCCAAGTAACAAATAAAATAGAATAAAATTACATTATACATATAAATAAAATTTAGATTATACAGACAAGACACATCATTTTGTAGAGAAAAACACGAGATAAAATCTTACTTGGCTATGTCAAACACACGATCGGCCATCCTACCACCGACCTAGAATACAGAAAAAAAAGTTTATTAGAATATAGACCCTGGAGACTTTCAAGAAGAGACTGGACAGCCATTCGTCTGAAATAGTACAAGGTCTCCTGCTCTAGCATGAGTTGGACTAGATCAGTGGTTCTCAACCTTTTTAATGCCGCGACCCCAACCGGTCGTAAGTCGAGGACTAAACCGGTCGTAAGTCGAGGACTAAACCGGTCGTAAGTCGAGGACTACCCAACCGGTCGTAAGTCGAGGACTTTCCCTGACCGGGAGCGCAATGCATGCGTGGTTCCGCACCCTGCGCTGTCCGAGGCGTAGCTGGCAAGCGGCAGAGACGGAGCAGGCCGACCACCAGCTGGCACCCGCCGGAAAAGGGGAAAAAAATGGCAGACAAAAAAAATGGCGGACAGCCTTGCTTGGCGACCCCCGTGAAATGGTCGATTGACCCCAAATGGGGTCCCGACCCACAGGTTGAGAACCACTGGACTAGATGATCTATTCTATTCCATTCCATTCCATTGCTATTTTTTGCAATCATAATATTTGGTATAGGATTGGGAGAAAATTTTGAAACTAGTACAGAATTCACACTTCATGCCAAGCCATAGCATTAGGTTTACCAGAAGTACACTGTAATAATCCAGATGACCACTAGAGTTGTTTCTTATTCTTTGCTGCCATCATGTAGTCTAAAAAAGATCTGCATCCTAGTTCTGATAGTTCTATCAATGGAATTGGTTCACAATACCAAATTTAGTACTCAACGCATTTTGATGCAAAAAATTTATCCTGGTACTCATTGTTTGTTTGGTATTCAACACACAAGCTAGAACTTGCTGGTGTTGGCTGCCTTGTGACTCACTACATTATTCCTTATAGGAAAAATTTGCTCAGTACTCATCATTTTTGGTACTCATCATGCCTCCTGGAATCAATTAACAATGAGTACCAAGGTACCACTGTACTCACTGTGCTGTATAAATTCACACGAGCAGTTGTGTTAAATTGTAAATCATGAATTTTGTATTGATGCAATGTGTGAATATTTCCATTGCAATTTACTCAACATAACAAGATTAAACAAATTATGGTATTTAAAGATAAACTACAATTTATAAACATTTTTGCTATCAGCTTATTAATTTTCAGGGATCTTTTGTCTTTTGATAGCATT